TCTTCTGGCGCTATGGTTCATAAACGGTCAGCGATGCCGACAGCACGCAGGAACTTAACACTCGCCCGGGGGTCCTTAAAAAGTGCTGAAAGTGCGTTACTGAAATGTCCCAGCAGACGGGTTCTAGCGCGATAGCTGGCAGGACATCTCAGGAACACATGCTCCATAGTCTCATCCTCCTCCTTGCAGGCTCGACAGGACGGACCTGGGTTGTCTGCTGGCGCAACTTTGTGGAGATATCTCAGCTTGGGCGATTTTCCACCAGTTCTCATTTGGGAGAGAAGCCGGCGGTCCTGTCGTCTGAGCGAGGCCTCAAGCTGGTATGACGGCGGCTGGGCAAACGGCAGTTTTGGTTTCGCCTCTCTCTTCCACTTTGCGCGGGTCGATCGGTGGATGACGGCTTTAGCTGTCGAGAAATCGATTGGCGTGTCAATCTGGGTAAGCGCTGTTGCTTCTTTGGCGATACTGTCAACTTCCTCGTTCCCAGCCAATCCAGCGGGGCCTGGAATCCACTGTGAGTGGATGGAACATTCAGAGCGTTGACAGAGGGTGTGCAGATGTTGCCAGATTGAGCAGGCCACCTTTTCCGATTGGTTGGTAGGGGCGTATGAGAGGCGCATGACTGCTGACCTAGAATCAGTGTATACATGGATGCGTGCACTGTTCGGAAGGCTGCCTGCTGTATGTAGTGCCACAAGCATGCCAAGCGCTGTGTCGAGAGCTACAAGCTCGGCCCTGTAGCTGGAACAATACCGGCCCGCAGGTACACGTTGGTCGAGTTCGGTATCACCGGTCTTGATCAGTATTCCACTTCCTCCAAACTCAGTACCCTGCTTACCTGAACCGTCAGTCCAGACTTCTACATCGGGCAGAGGGAGCGATCGAATTGTAGCCTCTGCTGCTGCTTTCCTGACAGCTGGTTCATTAGCACGCTTGCAGTCGACGACAAGATCGGTGCTAAAAGTCACGTTGTATGAGGCAGCCTTCCACGGTTGTGTGGCGGGTTAAACGACCAGCTCCTCACGTGGGTACGTATCCAGTTCAGTTTCGGCCACAAGGTTCTGGGCATGCTTTCTCCAGTTCGACTTGCCTGTCCGCGTGGGCACTGATTTTGTTGCGGAGGATCTGCGTTGGTTCGTTGCAGGCAGACGCATGGACTTCTCGAATGAGATGGCAGTCAAGGCATCAGTTCTATGCCTTAGTGATAGAATGTCTGCTTCAATGAGGAGGCTGTCCATACGAGTATCCTTTGAGCAGCCCGTGATGATTCTTGCTGCTTCATTCT